AATGGTTGTAAACTAGTACAGTGCCTTTAATTCATACTGGCGTTCACTAATGATTCATCAAGAGACATAATATCTAAGAAGCCGTGATGATGATAAGATGCCCGGGGTGATGTAACTGTAAAATTGGCTGTATTAACAATTGTCATCTATTCCGAGAGCGCCTAGTGCCAATGGTTCGAGACAGTTCGCTCGATATTCCCCATCCAAATATATTCTTCCGAGTATTGCCCTCTTTATGACTAACGTTATTTTTATACGACGCCGCCTGTTGCCAATACTTTCTTATGACTAATTATCATTGATTTATCTCAGTATCAGTATCTCTTTATATTAAATAAACGTATACATAGTTATATATATATATATATATATATATATATATATATATATATATATATATATATATATATATATTGTAGTACAAGAAACTTTTTTCCAAGAAAATCAAATCTTTTAAATATATTATATTTTATTTTTTTTTTACTTTTTTTTTTAAATCTTCTTCAGCCTATTGGCTCATATTTTAGTTCTTTATTTTCTACTTTCTTTATATATCCAAACATCTTGTACTTATTATTAATAAAAGTCTGATCGTCAAATATAATTTAAAACATTTGAGATGGGTAATTAGTCGACTGATAAATTATTAGGATGAAACAAAATAATAATAATTTAGAGTCAAGAATTTTTATTAGGTTAGTCGACGTTTCGGCCCAAACAAGTGGATTATCCTCAGGGCAAAAAATTATAAAATATAAAATATCACATCAATAAAATAATAAATATAAAAGTTCAAGGGTAATAAGAGTAAAGAATAAGAGTAACAAGATGATAATAATAAGATTAAATAAGTAAGGTAGTAGTAATAAAAATAAGGATAAAAATGTGGAGTGTCCACTCACACGACTTTCCTACCTATTCCAGAAAAGTTTTTATTTCTTTACATATGTCCATCAACAAAAAAAAAAAAATGAATTAGATTTATTTTCCGGAATATTGATCAAAGAAAAGATTTGAAAACGATTTATTTGATAAACTAAAGCAATGTAAACCGGCTTAAGGTTGATCAGTGTGAACATTTCAATAACCTCTAATATTGCAGATCAAAAACTTTTTGCCGTAGCCTAATTTTGTCAAACAATAATTTCTGTTAAGAGTGGAGGTAATAGTGGAGCTTGTGTGATGCAGGCAACAGATTTTCTTAAGTTATCTTTTTTCTCTCCTTCATCCCTTTCTGACACCGGAATATGTACCCGTAATCTTACATTGGAAATTGTAACTTCGTAAATTGAAATGAATGAACGATTTTTATACAGTTTTAGACGGAATTTTATTAACTTCAAAAAAATGGATTATTAGCTAATTATTAGAACATTATAGGAAAGTTTCATCAAAATCGTTAGAACCGTTTTAGCGCTACAGTCTACAGAAAAACATGTCTTTCATTTATTGCGCTGTAGCAATTGCGCATGGAGCACTCAATTTGTGTCACAGGCATCAGTAGTCAAAATCCTACAAAATAAAAAAAGAAGCAACAAAATCGGTTCACTAGTTCCCGAGAAAATCTTTGCACAGACAGACAGACCAATGGCTAAAACATGTTTTTCGGACTCAGGAGGCTCTGAAACTTATAGATCCGTCGAAAATTGCATATCGGAAATTTGACCCGATCGCATTTGAACTAGTATAGGTAGGATAGTAAAAACATTGAAATATGATAAGAAAATGATTTTTTGATATAAATAAATGAAAAAGACTAATATTGTATATCAAATGTAAGAATTAAAAAACGAGTAATAAGTGTAAATGACAAGAACAGAACACATGTGTGGGTCAAAACGTCGGCTAACCTAATAAAAATTCTTGACTGTAAATCCTGACAATTTTTTTTCATCCTATAATGTAAAATTGAATGCTTAATAGTTGACCGTTGTATTATAGAGGAAGGAGATGGTCCAGGGTGGCGGTCATAAATAGATTAAAATAGTGGCAAAACTATTTTATTAAAAGCCAACGTTTCGACCCGACATTGCAGGTCTTCTTCAGGGAGGTGTATTCAGGAAGGAGCTTCACTTAAATCTGAGAAGACCTGCAAAGTCGAGTCGAAACGTTGGCTTTTAATAAAATAGTTTTGCCACTATTTTAGTCTTTTTATGACCGCCACCACGGACCATCTCCTCCTCCCTTTATATTGTAAAATAATTTCTAATAATTGTAACACTTTTCATTTTTTATTAATGCAGAGCGGTCCCTCCACGCCCAGTGATATAATAAAAGGCCTCTGGCCACAGATGCAAAGAACGCATACAGCGTGCATAGCCCTCTTACCTTAAAATGCCCTTGGACAATAAAAGGAAATTGAAAATTTATGTATATATAACATTTATATATATATTGTATTTTATAATCAAGAAATTCCTGGGGGGGTAGGGGAAAAAAAAAAATTAATTTTAATTTGTCCGCAATCTTTACATAATTTGTTTCTACGCTATTTCATCGGTAACTCTTCATAGAATCTAATGATTGAGCCCTCATTTTGAAGAAATCTTTCTCCTTCAGGTTGGAAAAATAGTCACATCTCTCAGAAATTTCATAGAAAAAAGCTATGAAGGCAATGAAACTTTATTTGCGAATAACTCAAAAAGTATATATATTTTTTATATACATACATTATTAGAACATTATTACAACCTACATTATACATTATTACATTATTACATGTAATAATGTTTTTGTTTATTATGGTGAGTGAAATATTGTGATTCCACTGAGAAAAAGAAAATTATTTCCTCTATCTGATAATACTTTGCACTAACTTATTCCCATAGTATATCATAACACTAACTTATTATATTGCATGTCAATTATTCACTGAATTATCCGCACGGACCAACTAGAATATTATTATTGTTGGTGTACAGTGACGGATCCACAGGGAAAACAAAATTAAATGATTTTTCATTGGTCCGCATTTGGTTCTGAGAATGATCTGACTTAAATAATCACAATAACATATTTTGTTTTTTTAATTATAATACAAATATAGCTATTAATTGTATAGACTTGTAAAAAAAAATTTTTTTTAAATTATCTCTAAAAGCATTACAGTTCCTATAAATACTTTTTTTTTTAACAGACCTTCAAGGTCTGTGTAAAAGACCACTTAAATATCACTTTATGTAGTTTATTTCCTTTTCTTACTTAGTAATTACCGTTTTAAAAATAAATAAATAAATAATTTTAAAAATGCCCACTCCTGATGTAGGGCTGAATACTTCTCCATCGCTTAGAATTTCTGAATATCTTAAAAAATAACATTTAATATGACTTGTAGAAATTCACTGGTGAGTACGTGATGATTTAAAAAAATATATTGAAAGAAAAAAATTAAATTGAACTAGAAAATGAATTTAAATAGTGTACAGTTTTTTTCTATATTTATATTTTTGTTTCCTATAACGAACTTAGTTTCATTTCCTTTAGACATACGTTGCAGTACATATCCACCATAATACTAGATCATCATTATTTAGTTGTACTATTATATTTTGTGTAATCAATAGACTGAGAATCCGTTCAAAAGAATTGGCATCAACCGATGAATACTTTGTAGCATTTTTTGGAATATTCATAACTATCATATTTTTAAAAACAGAGAATCTTCCAGTTCGGATCATGCTAAAAATGGCGTTTGATTTAAAGAATATTTAACTAGTAATTTGAGGATCGAAACAGAATATTTATCACGAAAAAAGTGAGAAAAGTTGTTATTTTTAACTTGTACATTTTGGTTCAAACATTTAAAAACAAAAATCCCTTGGGCCACCAAGGAAAAACTTTTTACAGCCAAAAAAAGCCATATTTTTTCTCTCTCCTGTGTCTCCTAAACGGTGCCTCAAAGCAAAAAACGTACTCTTTAAGAAATTATAGAGCATTAAATTTTGTGTTCCGCTGATTTTACCAAATATATCAAAAACTGAGACAGAATACTATTAATGGTCCTGCAGCTTGAAAATGTGTTTTATAAGAGAATAACGCATGGAATATGAGTTGTAGAACATCGAATTCCGCGTCCACTGTGTACCAACAGTTAAAATGTTGGTAAACGGCTGCTTTAAATCAGCCGCCATTTCTTTCTGGTAGCATGATCCGACTCGCACACTCTCATTTTTAAAAAATATAAATATTATGAACATTAAAAAAAATGCTTTCAAAATTTTCATCAGATGTCAATTTTTAAAGATAATATGAACACAAAAATTTATTTGCAAAATGTTTATTGGCTTACACACAATTGTCTATTGCGGTTCGAATAAGCCAAGAGAAAAAAATGTAAAGTACATGCAAGAAAGTAAAAGGTAGACATCTAACAAAAAACGATGAATGCACCAAAATAAAATGCGAAGAATTGGGATTGCCAAGAATCACTCAATAGAGTACGTGATTCATAAACGGAAAAATAGATCATTTCATTAGACAAACATCAAGGAACTTTCTTTCTCTATCTTTGTTATCATTTTTTCCAAAGAAAAATAATATTGCAAGAGATAAATAAATATCAGAAAGCAGTCATTTTTTGTTTCCGACGATTTAAACCCAAACATGTTCTGATGATGACCCACATGTTTGGGTTGAAAAATCACGAATAATATAAAATCTCAAAAATGATTGCTTCCTGAATATTTATCTCCTGTGATACGTAGTCCAGTCGACTAACTTCCTTCAGTATTCGGAAAAAAATATTATTTTTATTAAAGAATTTATTTTTATCATAATTCTAACACTTATAATGAAACTATTATATGAAGGTGATGAAAGGAAATAAGAAATTTCATCATGAAATACGTTATTTATTCCTCAAACACTTATCCATATTTACTATAAACGGCTAAAAAAAAGTTTTATTGTTAAAATTATTATTATTTGTGAATTTAATATTTTATTAATTATAAGAGTTTCTAGCATGGAACTCCCCACCTATTATAAAATTTATATATTTGAAGGTGAATCCTGGAAGGTGGACAATAAAGAAACACAACCCCACATGTGCATGCTTGGTATGTTAAAATAAAATAAATATTGTCCATTTTTATTTATTTATTTATTTATATTAACATTTTGATTTTTTCTGTCATATATTTCACAACTACAATATAAGGGCACATAATAAACATTGCTCTATTTCAGTTGCAATAATATATTTTTTATACTAATGGATAGCTTTAGGTGCCTATTGTTTCAGCCTGTTTATTTTGTACTCATAGAAATTATAAATAAAAAATAATTTTTTATTTTCATTATTAATTATGGTATAGCTTATTAGCTGCTTTGATGCTATAAGCACGTTTATACTGCGTGTCCCTTAAGTAGGGAGACATTTTTATAGGATTCTTAACAGACTTCATGAGCTACAAAAAAGTTTATATACACAATGGGCCTATTTTCAACAAAAAAGGAGGAAATCCAAGTTTTATGTTTTTTTTAAGTGAGTCGTGTTTTTCATTGAATCGAAAGCAATAACTAAAGAAATATTTAATTTAAGTAATTAATAATTGCTTCATTGTAAACAAGAAGAAATTTACTTTAAATGAACATAGAGTTTATCATTGTTAAAACCATTTACAGAGGTTTTTTGAGCGGCTAAACTAAGTTCTGTTTTTAGAAAAATCATAAATTATTCGCTTTTTTTTTATCATCATCCAACTATACTACAGTTTCCCCACTTTTACAAAAAGTGCACTTCTTCGTTTAATAAGCTTTAAATTCGTATTAATTAAGTTGAGGTTTATTAGGGAAAAAATTGAGATTCAGCTCAAGTTTTGTAAAAAAAAAAAGATATTTTTTATCCTGTCAAGTAAAAGTCAACATCACCTAAGCAATAAAACAGTAAACAAATTTGTAATTGCGACATAAGCTGATCTACAGGGAGTGAGTGGGGGAGGAAGAGGTTTTTCTATATGAAGCCTCCCCAGATAGATAAAAAACCTTTTTTTTCCATATTTTATTATTGTGAGTGATATAAGTTAAATAATTAATCAATAATAAATAGTATGTTCTATTTCTTAAAATTATAATGCATATACAGCTAATAAATATAACCATGTCTTCTGAAAAAAGTATTAAAAAATTATCTCTAAAAGTATTATTGTTGATGTAATAAAATTTGTAATAATACTTCAAGAATCACCTTAACGTCATTTCATACAGATCTACCCATTTTTTTTAAACACGAGACCTCTGACTATAAACCTTCATCTTCCTTCTCGTAGAACTGCTTTTAAAAAAAAATCCTTTATATTGCTACCTTGTTTTGGAATTCCTTACCCACCTATATATACGAAATCTCATCTTTCACATCTTTTGAGCACCAATTATTCATCCATCTCCTCATAAATCAATCTTCCAAATATATGCAAGGATTAAATTTTCTTATTTAATTGTTGTCAGCCTCATTTCACTTGTTATATCACAGCTATCTATATATTATGTAGGTTGCTTATCAGTCAATTATGTAAACATACTGATATTTATTTATCTATAATTTTATTATTTTTACTTATCCCTATCCTTTATATTAACTCTAAGGTTGCATCACTCTGTAATTTAATTTATTCCTGTCATTTTATGCTAGACAGATGACACTTCTATTGTCCATTGTAATTAATTTTAGGTGACTAAATGTCCCAGAATAAAAATTACTTAACTTCTCCTTCTTACTTTACCTTTAAAAATTGCTCCATTTTGGGACATTTTTGTTTGAGCTGACCGCGTCTTTGACAAAATGTAAAGCCAAGAAACAAAGAAACAACTGCCGAAATTTGTATCATCGGTATAGGAATAAAATCTGAAACATGAAATGTCAAGGGACCCGCACTCGAGGCTTTTTGCGTTTCGTGTGAAATGTTAAAAATGCATTTTTGCATCTTTTCTACCCTGTTGCACACCCCAAAGATGTCGGCCTCTTAGCGTGGTCCTATTCATGACATTAATCTGCTAGCATAGCCCTGTTACCCACCCGTGCTTTCTTCCCCAGGCTGTTATGGTTTCCCGCTTCTAATCAATTTTTCCGAGCAGAAAATCAATTACGCTCATGTCGACCGTCGAAAATATGTCCACTATTCATCAAATAAGACCGGCACAATGGGAATCCTTTTTTACCGTTTATTTCTTTATTAGTCCACAAAGCGCGAGGCCTCAATTCACCTTAAACATTTTATAATAGTTTTTTATTAATTACAAAACAAAGATTCTATATTTTATTATTATTATTATCATTTAATTCCCCGTCAGTTTTGCATGATTTTTATTAATAGTCCGTGGTACAGACCCCTTTTCATCTAATTATTAACATCCGGCTGAAACTTCGTAAATAGTTTCATCTCATCGTAACCTACAACTATTTTATTTACGAAAACTATTGGAATTGGGGCGTTTTCAATCTAGAGGGGGTCAAACTTTGCATATTTAATTAGGTAATAAAAACTCGTAAATACCCATTTCCATTTCACTTGGATCGTAAGACAATTTGATCACAAAATCGATAAAAAAAGGCGGCCTACAAAAATATTGGGCCGTTTGTCCTGTATAACCTAATTATTTTGACAATTGGGGGGGTGTAGATCACGCCAAACGGCTCAATTTGTTTTAAGGCCACCTTTTTTCTCGATTTTGTGCTCAAATTATCTTACAATCCAAGTGGAAAGGAAATGGGTATTTACGAGTTTTTAGTACCTAATTAAATAGACAATGTTTGCCCCCTCCTGTTTGAAAACGCCCCAATTCCAAGAGTTTTCGTAAATAAAATAGTTGTAGGTTACGATGAGATGAAACTATTTACGAAGTTTCAGGCGGATGTTAATAAGTCGATGAAATAATTTATTATTATTATTATCTGTACCACGGACTATAATTTAGCGCTAGAATTAATTATTTACGCTCGGAAAATTGAAAATTAAATTGAATATAGGTGTGTGAATTGTATTTAATAATAACAAAAATTATCAACAGTAAAATATAAAAAAATATTGGACCTCCATCATCTATATCTAACCTTATTGCAGCTTCTAATGATAAAAATTTCCCCACCTATGGTATAGCCCAGAGGTCTCCAAACGTCTGGCTCGCGGGCCACAGCAGTTTTCGCAAAAACATAAATTGTTCTTTATGTGACACTACAGTTGTTAAATGAGCTTTCAAAGAGCACAACTCATGCAATATTTGTTTTAGTAACTTTGTGTTTGAGTGCATCTTGGTATTTTTATCCACTTCACGGCAGCTGAGGATACTACTGATTAATACCAAAATGTACGTCTATAAGTCTATATACCTTCCTATTCTCACCTATGGTGGAGAAAGCTGGACTATATTGGACAAACATTATATTTGCATAACAGCAGCGGAAATGTGATTCCTACGTAAATCGGTGGGCAAAACTAGGAGGGATCGCATTAGAAATGAAACTATCAGAGAACAGCTGGAAGTGCCTGAACTCAAAACCACCTTGGAGAACAGGCAATTAAGGTGGTTTGGATATGTCTGCCGCATGAACGAGGACATGGACCCTATAAAGATATTGGAGGCTCGACCCACAGGGAAGAGACCATGAGGGCGTCCCAGAGTCACATATCAGGAGTTCATAGAGATGATCGGAGGTAGAAAGCGGTTAAGCAGAGACCAGGAAGGGTGTCTGCGCTAGATAGAGGCTCCTCGACGCTAGAAATGGCATTGTGAGGAAGACAAAGAAGATGAAGAAGAAGTGTTTGAGTGATTTCTCAAAACATGTTAGTTTTAACATGTAATCAAAGAAACTTTCGAGGGCCCGAACTGGTCCGAAGGCCATAGTTATGAGACTCCTGGTATAGACAGTCCACTGTGCATCGGTTGACCCCATCTGTTTTGATATTGTACTCAGAGTATAGCTTTCTGTCAAATATAACTTCTTTTCTAAACCGGCCGTGGGTTAAACAAAATTGATATTCGTTGTTCGTACTTAAAAAAAAAAAACCTTTAATACCAATTTTTATAGTAATCGGAAAATAAATTTTTGCCTTGGGCAGTGGAGCTTTGCCCCTTGCTCTCAAGAACCGGGACTGATACTTCATGGCAATGTTGTAATTTATTTTTTAAATTATTATTCTATAGTTTACAAAGAGTTACTGTTGCAATTGGATTAGAATATCGTACGAAATAATTGCAAAATCTCTGCATGTTGAGGCAAGGCCTGGATGCACCCCACATCCTCAGAGGCTGCTAGCTGCATATCAATGGGACCCGGGTATTCCCACAGCCCGCCTTGTACCAGCGGTTAGCATAACTGTTCGTCCTCAACTCTTGTATTTTTCCTGATCCTTACACTCCCATGTCTGCAACAATGTTTTCTTTTCTAGACACCAACTTTATCAATGGCTTATCAAAATACAAAAATAATATTGAAGGGCAATTACTTTAATTTCGTTTACCTATTTCTTATCTAAAGAATTTATTTTTTGTATTCACAGAGAGATTTACTTGTCCAAAAATAATTGTTTTATATATAAGAAAAAAATTCTTTAATAAAAATGAATTATAGCTATAAATAAATCCAACAAATGGGGTAAGTATAGCTTCCTCACCACTTCTATTAGCTACATAATTACTTGAATCATCGTTGTCCAACTCATGTTATTGGTCAAAAGATAATTTTTTTCCCAAATAAAAATAAAAACGCTTGTTGTTAAAACTCTGTTTCATTCAAGAATCTACCTTTCCGTATATATTTAAAATAGCCAATTATTTTCTTTATATTTCTCGTTCAATGAAGCGACCTCGGTTTGTTTAAAACTTCAGTACTACTTGTTTACACCAAACAACTAAAGATTAGATAAGAAAGGAAGATAGGAGGTAAAGGAAAAGTGTAAATAGCTATGGAGCCTCAATCTTGAAATTACAACTTCCTATTAAGTTATATATATAGTAACTATTATAAGTAACCGTTTTAAAAGTAATTAGAATGATCAATTCCGCCCATCTTTAGCCTTTATCAACTTGAGATATTTTCTTTTTGGCCCCTTAGTCGAAA